ATTCACCCAGGTCCATTTTTGGGAAAAAAAATCAATTTCTTGAGCACTGTTTTCCTCTTTTGAACTAGAATCCAAGTAGAGGAGAGCCATCACCTTACAGCTTCTTAAATTCCACACATAATCACTCTTTGATTTTACTTTTCCTGGGACTGCCTTCTCAAGTAATTTGATTTTCCTTTTGTTGTATGTGGTTGGCATCAGCCTGCACAATGAGTTTGTGTCTAGCACAACCATTTCAATGTAGTGTTTTCCTTCTGTGTCTGGTAATTACTGTAGGGTGTAACTCAGCCTTGGTTCACGCCAGAATGGCAAGTGGCCGCAGCTCAATTCTTCCTGCTAAGCGTCAGAGAGCCGGCATGCATTACTAATCTATTACAGTGCATATTAAACAAACCCAAAGTTTGTCCAATTTCTTTCATAAAAGCCAAAGTCCTTTTGTAATCACAATAGAATACTTGTCCACTCCCTTTTCTGTGATTTAATATACCTTGGATAGCCAAGAAGTTCCACATGATAGAAGAATCACTCCTTCCCCCTGTGGAAGGAGGGAGAAAGCATGGTGTTGTGAATTAGAATGAGTCTGGTTGGAGAAAGACCTTGCGTTGAATCCTGGCACAATTATTTACTCTTAAGTTATGCTCTGAGCCTCATATATTCTCTTCTTTAAAAAAGGAAAGAAGGAAGGAAGGAAGAAAGAAAGCTAATAACATGTCAGTGAGCTGAATTTTCTAGTCCTTAGGCTGTTGTTTCTTTTTTTGGTTGTTGTTTGCTTTTTTTTTTTCCCTGACAACCCTAATTCAGGACAGAAAAAACAATTGGCTCTTGGCTGTGAAGGCAGTAGCTGTTCAGGTCATTTGTGCCAGGTCAGGCTTTGGTATTTTGGGTTTAGGACTTGCCACATTCTTGGGCCCTGCTTATTCTGGAAGAGAGACTCCCAAAGACTTGTAGATTTGTTGTAAGGAACCCAATAGGTAATACCTTGTAAAGCAGTGGTTTTTACTTATTTCATTTAAGATGCTTTCAGCGGCAGTAAATCTGACTATCAAAGGCTTAACTATGAGGATGTTTGGTTTGTACCTCAAAATTCTGGTGATACATGTTTTTTAGGCTTGACTCAACAGTTTCACCCAGGCCACAGGTTCTTCTTCGTCCATCTACTATGCCATTCTCAGAATGGTGGCTCTTAGTTGCAAGAGCATACTGACTTGTTGCCTCATCACTTAAAAGTGGCTGCCTCCACTGCAAGCACATGTCCTGACCCAGCTCTGCTCAAAGACACAAAATGAAGGGAGTGGAATAGGACAAAGGCTCTCCTCCTCTTCTTTCTTTCTCTCAATTTTTTATAATTTAACTTTAAAAATTCAATGTATTGGGGTAACATTGGTTAATAACATTACATACTGTTCAGGTGTACAATTTTTAAAAATATATATTTTATTGATATTTTAAAGAGAGGAAGGGAGAGACAGAGAGTTAGAAACATTGATGAGAGAGAAACATCGATCAGCTGCAGGTCGTTAGTGTTTTAGAAAACATGGGGATGGTAGAGCATGTTTTCTAAGGAAAAGGAATTTTCTGGAAACAATAGAAATTGACAATGTAGGCAGAGAATTTTATCAAAAGCAAAATGGGACACTTCACTCCCTGGGGGAGGTTGCGGTGGAGCTTGGCCTGCTGACTGGGGGCCTGACCTCGCTCACAGCTGACACCCAGCGGCGGGCCTCCCAGAACCGGATTTACTTGGTGCCTGGCCAGCAAGGAGGAGTTTGCACGCTGTTGTTGACCCAGGGCTGGCCTGCCTGCCTTGCCCTCCAATCCATTCCAGCACCTCACCTTGCTTGACTGCACCCCAGGGGTACAGTTTCTGACAACTTCCTTCGCTTCAGGGCCAGGCTTTGATCTCACCTCCCAGAATCTAGTTTCTGTTGAAGTTGTTCAGCTCTTCGGGTCTACGGTTATTATCCTCACAGCCTCCCAGGCCGGTGACTCATTTCAACCTTGGCTGACCTCTGCTTTTGACCCTCTGGCTCTGTCAGGTTCCAGGCCCTGTGTCCTATTTGCCATGGAGAATCTGACAACTTAACTCTGCGCATGTTCACACAAACATACAAGCCACTACAGCATCAGGAAAATCCCAGTACTCTCCTGTAGAGGCACATGGTATTTGGCAAAGCAAATGGTTACAGGTCTATTTTTTCTCATCATATGATTATTTTCTGTTTTACTTAAGGGACTGTTGATATAACTCAATATCACACTATGCACTATTTAAAAATATATATTTTTTTGGAAAACAAAAGAACAGAGAACGCCATAACAAACACCTGTGTTCAGACCACCCAGAATGAACGAATGTGAACATTCTGTAATGATTGTTTTAAGCCTAGAATTCTCATTTTAAAAACAAATTGTGCTTTTTGGTATAGGCAGAGCCAACCTTAGGAAAACAGTGAAGCTGGCTCTTCTCCCGCTGTCTCCTTCCCTTCCCTGGCAGGTGCCTGACCAGCCGTTGGTGGCCCTCGGTTCTGCAGCGGGCCGTGCTGTGCCCCTCTCAGACTGTGCTGGCAGCTGTTACCTGGGACTCTAGATGGAACAGTGGAGCCCTCCACTATATTAGAAATGAGTTTCCAGCAGAAAAAGGGAAGTTTACTAGAACAAAGGCAACTTATCATAACTTTCCAGGCTCTGGGCCTCAGAAAAGAAACGCACATGGGAACTGATCAGCTCTGGGAATCCCAGCTTTGCTCATGCTTTTCTCTGCTTCATGCTTTGCTCTTGTTCAGTCCGCATGTTGTGCAATAGGCTCCTATGACTTCTGTGTTTACATATGACAGATCCAGAGACTGGCAGAACTTCTGGTACAATTCCACATGTCTGAGGGAGCGAAGCAGATTGTCCTGCCTACGTCAGATGCCCGCCTCTGGTTCAGCAAGCTCCCCTACCACGTTAACAAACGGACGATGCTCTGACATTGATGCTGTTTTTGCATCAATAGTACATTCCTTCCATGAATGTTTTGACCCTCTTGTGCCAGGGACCTTATGAGAAAACTGTGGCATGAGAAAACAGTGACAATCTAACCCCAAAGGGCTTATAGTTTGATGTGAATCCTACGTGCATATGAGAGGCTGACTCCATTTTTTAGCAGTATGGCATAAAACGAACAGTCCCTTTTCTATTACACTCGCATTTCTAAAGGTCTGTGCTGGAGCTTTACTCTTGTAAGCCATTTCAAATGTTTTGTGTAGTGAGCAGGATAGATATGTCTAAATATGTCAAATGAGGTCATGTATATATTTCTATACCAGCTCATAGGAAACAGAAGTATAATCCTAACAGTAACACTGTTTTAACCACATAGACAGTGATCATTTGTAATACCCTTTCCTGAGAAAATAATGTGTAAGCTCAGACTTGAGATGGCGAACAGGCATCCCCCATGGGGACTGTGGAGGAGGGCGAGTCTCACACCACAGATCACCTGTGTTAACTCTCCTTATTTGCTCAGGAAAAGCCACTTCTCTAGGCTCTTCTGCTCTCAGGTGCTACAAATTTCACTTTTTGAGGTCAGGGCTGCAACCTGGCTCTCCGTCAACCAGCAGCATGGCCTGAGTTTTGGATTGACAAACACATAAATACTCAGTGGGCATGTGATTTCACTTATATGTGGAATCTAAAAAGCAAAATAAATAAACAAACATAACAGAAACAGACTCATAGATACAGAGAACATTTTAGTGGTTGCCAGATGGGAGGTGGGTAGGAGGGATGGGTGAAAAGGGTGAAGGGATTAAGAAGTACAAATTGGTTGTTACAGAATAGTCATGGAGATGTAAAGTAGAGCAAAGGGAAAATAGTCAATAATATTCTAACTATGTATGGTGTCAGATGGGTACGAGCTTTACTAGGGTGGTCACTTAGTAAGTCATATAATGTCTGATCATGGGGTTGTACATCCGAAACTAACAGAATATTGTATGTCAACTGTAATTGAAAAATATATATATTTAAAGTGAAAAAACAAACAAAAGAAACTCAGTGGGCTCCACCCAAGATTTCTAGCTTTAAGAATGACACAGGGCCCTGGCCGGGTGGCTGAGCATCCTCCCATACACCATCCTCCCATTCCCTCTCTGGGCACATACCTAGATGGCAGGTTTGCTCCCCAGTGGGGGCACATAAGGGAAGCAGCCGATAGATGCTTCTCAAATCAAGGTTTCTCTCTCTCTCTCTGTCCCTTCCTCTCTCACTAAAAATTAATAAAACATATCTTCTGGTGAGGATTTTTTTTAAAAAAGGAATGGCACAGGATGGTTGACAACACAGCGTGTAAGGTGATCGTGGGGCGGTCTGCTGAGTCCAGGCATAGCCTGGGAATAGGTGTGCACATGGTGTGAGAGATGAGGCGGAGAGCCTGCAGACAAACTGCATGGGAAGCCATTCGCTCTGAGTTCCCCTCAGCTTTTGTCCTTATTCATCTCAGCCTCCTCCCGGGATTCGAGGGGCACCCATTCTCACCAAAGCCCTTTACTCATGACTGACAGTCAAGACAATGGGGCTGAGGTGCCTGGTCCATCCTCAGCAGATTCTTGTCATTCTATATTCAGTATCTGTAATTCCTTGACTTAGTGCTGTAAGGAGAGCTCAGCCAAGCCAACGGTCAAACCCTCTTGTTGACCCTGTGTCTAAAAGATAGGTCACAGATATCTGTTCACCAGACTCGGGTCTTTCTCATGTTTGTCTCCTAAGCACGGAGTCTGGCATATGGTGCTTGATAAGTAATTGTCCAGTGAATATTCAGTTTTGAGCTCGGAACTTTATTTTATATTCAAATTGTTTGTATGTCTAGTGTTTATAAATAAGTAAATGATTGCCTACAAGCAAAACTATTTTCTGTTTTAAGAGTAATTTATATCAAAGTCTTTTGGCCCGTGTGCTGATAAAAGCCATGATGATTGTCACTTAAAGTGCTGAAATTTCTCTTTTACTCTGTCTTTCAGGTTATTTGAATATATTTTGCTCTATAAAGATGGAGTGATGTTTCAGATTGAACAAGCCACCAAGCTATGTTCCAAGATCACCCTGACAGACTCCTGGGACCCTCTTGACATTCCTCAGAACGCCACCTTTGAGGACCAGTACTCCATAGGGGGGCCCCAGGAGCAGATCACCGTTCAGGAGTGGTCCGACAGGCAGTCAGCCAGATCATGTAAGGGTTCAGAAAAATATGGGCAGGTTGCATCTCAGAGAGCATCATGGGGAAAATGCTTAAGCCCACTAGGGAAGGTAGTTGTAAGGGAGATTTAAGAGTGTTATCAAATTGTTTACTCCTCCATCCCCTGCCCTCCATTGAAGTGCCCACATGTACTCTGCTAGTTGTGTAGCACCAGGATATAAGCATCATATTTGAAACACCTCGGCCTTCTAGCTCCACCTGCACCTTTCTGCCACATGACCTCTCATGGACTTAGCCTTGACTCTGACATTGGATGATCCCCCACCCCACCTCCGCAGACCAGGGACGGAAGGTGTTTGTCTATGGCACAGATTAGAGTTGGATGCCTCCTTTTCCTTCCCCCATATCACTTCCTAAAGTCCTTACTGCCATTACTTTTAGTGTCCGCTTTTAGACAAAGATATGAGGGTCTTCTCTGTTCTGCTGTCAACATGGTTAGCCCAAGACTGTGTCAGAAACACAGGCCTTTATGCTATGAAAAACAGTATGGCAGTTTGCAAAAACAATAAGCATAGAATTACCATATGACCCAAAAATTCCACTTCTGATCATATACCCCTAAGAATTGAAAGAAATGACTCAGACATTGGAACATTGATGTTTATAGCAGAATTATTCATAATTGTCAGAAGGTGGAAACAAACCCAAGTGCCAATCAGTAGATGAGTGGATAAAGAAACTGTGGTGCATTCATATAATGGAATATTACTCAGCCTTAAAAAAGAAGGAAATGCTAACACATACTACAGTACATGGGAGAACATTATGCTAAGTGAAATAAGCAGTCACTAAAGGACAAATACTGTATAATTCCCTTGATATAACGTGCCAAGTAGTCAAGTTCATGGAGACAGAAAGAAAATGGTAGTTGCTAGCGGCTAGGGGAAGGGGGAATGGGGAGTTAGCAGTTAATGGGCATAGAGTTTCAATTGGGAAGATGAACAAGTACTGGAGAGAGTGGTGGTGATGGGCACACAACAATGTGAAGTACTCAGTGCCACAGAACCGTACTTAAAAATGGTTAAAATGGTAAATTTTGTGTATAATTTACCACAACAAAGAAATACAAGCATTTTGCCTGCCTTCTATATTAAAAGTCAACTTTCCTTCCTCTTATAGATGAAACTTGGATTGGCATTTATACAGCCAAGGATTGTTATCCGATCCAGGAAACCTTCACCCAAAATTACAGTGTGATATTGTCCACGCGGTTTTTCGACATTACGCTGGGTATTAAAGACCCCTCCGTGTTTATTCCCCCGAGCACGTGCCAGACGGCCCAGCTGGAGAGGATGAGCGAGGACTGCTCCTGGTAGGCCTGTGGACGCAGGAGTGACGGCATCAGACACTGGCGGCCTTAGCTCAAAACCTATTTGAGCTTGAGAGATGAGAATCTACTTTGGAGAAAGACATTGATGTGGGGTTTTCTGTTTTGTTTTTTGTACGTATGATGTTGGCTAGGACGGAGACGATGCGGTAATGTGGGCTGAACAGATGAACGTGGGGACTTTGTGTAGCCGATCTGGGTGCTGTGCCTTCTGCATGTGCCGGTGTCTGTGAAGTGCAGTGGCTTACGCGGGGCTGGAGATCAGCAGGGGCAGTTTGCCTCGGCCGCGAAGAACGCTTTATTATTGACTGAGAATCACCAGATTCCTGGCACGTGGTGATAATAAAAAGCAGAACAACTTTGTTCAGTTTATTATTAATGTTTAAGTTCCCTACAGATAATGTCCCCTTTATGCCTCCACCAGGGAGGGGACTGCTCCCCCTTCCCCACCCCATGCTCCTTAGGCTACTGAAAAAATAACCCCCTAAAATCCCTTCCGGACTTAAGGGTTCATGGCATGAATCAATTAATATAAATATTTTGGAAAGGAATGAAAGGCTATAATACAAAGTAATTATTCCTCTAAAGAGATGTTTTAAACAAGAGAGTTTGAAAACCCTAATGTCTACCCCTGGTAAGCATGAGCCACTGTGCTTCCTTTTTTCTATGCAAGAGTGTTGATACTCGTGCTGAATCATCAGAGACCGTCAGGAGACCTCCAGAGACAGGGTATTCTAGAAATAGCCCGGAACTGGGAGTCCGGAGACTATTGTCTCCAAAATCCAGGACTAGAATTCCCCTGTACTCTGATTGCGTGGATTAACAAAATGCACTATGCTTTCCCTCACCTTGGCCTCCTTGGGACACAACCTCTTTGTCTACCCGACTTCTGCTCATCCTTCATAGGTCAGCTCACACAAGACCTTCAGAGAACTGCCCCCACGCCTGGATAGGGTGCACCTTGCAGCTAAAGCATGCAGTTCTCACAGTGCTTATTTAGGCTGAGTGTTAACGTCCTGCTGAGTGGACACTGTCACACACGAGCTTGGCTAGGAGCTCCTACAGTATGGGTACCGTGTTCTGTTAGCTTTTATATGCCCAGCAGCAAGGAAGTGCCTGGCACACGGTGAATGCCCTAAAAATTTGTAGAGTGGAGAATGCCAGCCTCTCTACTGTTTAGTTCCCTCATCTGTTAATGGGGTTGGATTTTCTCATCTCTTGGGAGACTCCCAGTAATAGAATGCATTATTCTAGATTATTCTTTTATTGTGTTGCTTCTGCTCATCTATTTATCTATTACCAGGAGAAATGTGTGACACCTATGTTATGCTGAAACAATCTGTATTACTCACTGTGTCTATTATTTCAATAAACAAATTTAATTGCATTTCAGAGTATTCTTTGATATATTTGCTTTGGTAACAAATATTAGTTATCTTGGTTATAAGGGAGTTAAAACTCTTCTCAATTGAATAACGTTCTTCATGTGATCTAAACGGAATTCCTTCTCCTCTCTCAAAGCTTGCTCTTCTGCTTAAAGTCCAATTGCCTGGGTCAGAAGTATTGGCGTTACGCTGGACCTGTTTTTCTCCTTCAGTCCTCACAGGCCACCAGTGTCCTGAGTCCTATCAGACTAGTTCTTAGAGCTGCAGTCTCTTGTCAATCCCCTGAGCTACCATTCAGGTCCAGACTCTTAGCACCACTAGCTTTACAAGACCTTCACACCCCTGGTCCTTCCCTTGGTCTTTTCTTCTAGAAGCCACCGTCTGCTCACTCAGGCGGTCATAAGCCGATATGAAAACCCTGTTAGCTCCATGGCCATGCTGGTTGGAAGAGTCACAGGGCAGAGTGAAGCCCAGCTAAGCACTGCACAGATGGGGGCTTTCCCAGTGTCTTCAGGGTGGGCCGGTCTGATAAAGCCCGTGACAGTTTGCCCACTTCTTATCTCTGCGCCCACAGGATGACCTGCTGCTCTCCAGAGGGCTCATTCCCCTGCGGGGTGGATCTTTGCTGTGTCCACCCCAATCCACATTCCTACTCAAAGGAGAAAGGAACTTCTTTTATTTTATTCAGGGACATACATTTTTTCAGCTGGCCTGTTTCAGTAGTTAAGCCATTTCACAGAAATGGGTGAAAAGTCCGCCTTCCAGAGGGATTTTACATCTGGTAGGACCTCAATACACACCTGATGGTGCCCTGCTCCTGTGGTTCTCCACGGTCTCCAAGTAAAGCGGAGTCTCTGTAGCATGGTGTCCCGATTCCTTTCCCAGCCTCAGCACTTGGCACTGCTCTCTCTTTCCCAACAACCACAGAGCCTGAGGAGTGAGGCCTGGGTGGCAGGAGGGTTTCCTTAGTCACCAGTCTTACGTAAACCTCTCTAGTGGACATTATCGTCAGAAAGAAGAAGGGCTCTTCAATATTAATAAAGAAGAACATCCTGTGTCTCCCTTACCTGCAGCCATGGCATTCCAGACAATGGGCCAGAACATGGGTGCCATTTTGCGCTTATCCTGCCTCGCGTATCTCTGAGCTGTTATGCTACGAAAGAACAACTCCCACTTCTCCTAAAGCAAATTGCCAAGATCCCTGAAGCACTGGGGTATTTATTATCTTCCACCTTCAACCCTGAAGGCCCAGCCCTGGGACAGAGCTGTCCTACCTTCTCTCCCACTGACCCAATGGGGCCTTTCTGCCCTCATTTGCCCTATTATCAGGGTTACTTTCTTAGAAGAAGCTTTGCTAAGTGAGAGTGATCTGCAGATGGTTGCTACCTGTGCTGGGCTTGGAGGTGCTTGGCATAGGCCAAGCTGCAAACTAAAGCAGGCTCCCACTAGTGGTAGGCCTTGGGCCTCTTAAAAAGAGGTGCAGGGTACGCCAAGGTCAGAAAGTCTACAATGTAGAATGATGTAGACTCTACATCATGGGCCTAGAGAGGATGTTTGTATGGAAAAGTCACTAGAAATGGCTTTGGTGGGTCCCAAAAGTTGGGTGGGGTCTCAGGGAATCACCAGGGTAGGGCTAAAACAGTGTTAGCCAGCTTCCTGGAGACTCAGAAATGGTTCCAGTCTGCCTGCTCTGTGTGGGGAGGGCTCAGCAAAGGATCAATGGCCTCTGCCAGCACTTCTGTCTGGGAGAAAGCTGCCCCCCAGCTCTCACTCCAAAACCAGACAATTCAGCTGCTCCTTGTATGTCCCTGGTGACTTCTGAGCTGCTGCCCCAGTCCTGGAGCTCAAAGCAAGTGAGTTGAAGTATGTTCATGCGCACCAGACCTTTAAGACAAATACCTGGGACTCCAGCAACCCTCCATCTCACTCAACCACAATCCCTGCTGGTTTTTACAGCCAGGATTATGGGGACTTCTCTTCCTGGCACTGTGACCTGCACTGGGGGCCTGGATATCCCTCCTGATTCGTATCCACCGTACATGGGTGTGGAACCAGCCTGTTCTGCATCTCCGCTCCTCCTATCAGTTCTTCTGTGGCTTCTTTTGTATATCCTTGGATGTAGGACTTCTGTTCAGCTAGATTTTAGGTGATTCTTAATGATGGTTGTTCTTTAGATTAGTTGTAATTTTGATGTGGTTGTACTTTGTTTACCTACATCACCATCTTGACCAAAAGTCCCTACCCATTTCTTTCAGAAAGAAAATCTAGTTGTAGTTTTTCCCATGCCATGCACTGAAATAAATCAGTGCATTAAAGAGATAGATATTAAATCAGTATGAAACTGCTATAGGATTTTTTAAGCCTACTAAAATAAAATACAGTAAAATATATCCTGATCTTGGATTTTAAAAATTTAAGCAAAAACAAAAAAGAATTAAAAAAAAACCAACACGCAGGAGAAACAACCGACTATATAAAGTTGCCTATTTCAAAAATATAAGATATACATATAATATGATTTATATGATATATGTAAAATATAATAGATACATAATATTCCATTATGTAATATCATACTACCACATATATAATATCATAAAGGAGATTAAAAAATAACAAGTGGAGGAAGACATTTCACAATGTACTTCCTTCGTAATGTGACATTTTACTAATCAATTAATATTTATAGTTCATTGGAAAATAAGCAAAAGACATAAATAGACGATTCATAAAGGAAGAAAAATTGCTAATAAACTTTTTAAAAAAAATATTTTATTGATTTTTTACAGAGAAGAAGGGAGAGGGATAGAGAGCCAGAAACATCGATAAGAGAGATGATCAGCTGCCTCCTGCACGGCCCCCAGTGGGGATGTGCCCACAACCAAGGTACATGCCCTTCACCGGAATAGAACCTGGGACCCCTGAGTCCACAGGCCGATGCTCTATCCACTGAGCCAAACCGGTTCGGCGCTAATAAACATTTTTAATGTCCAATCAAAGATATACAATTTAAACAATATTTTACCTTCATGGACTTATAACTATTAAAACATTTATAATATTGACTGATGTTAAAGGATTGATGATGAAATAAGAACTCAGACACAGCTGCTGATCTGCATTTCTGGAAACCGCTTTGGTGATATGAAATTGGGAACCTTATAATATTTCTTATGCTACCATCTCCCACTCCCACCCCAATGATTGAGACAAGCATTCTGCATCACCAACTTTAAACGTTTCCAGCTAAATTTTTTGGCAGTATGGCTGTGTACTGTAGATATTTTAAGTTTTAATGAATCATTTGATCATTTCTTAGCATAGGCTCCACATTATTTTTTTCCACATTATTTTTTACAGAATGCATTGGTACTGTCTCTATTTACCTTTGAGAGTTGGAGCCATTTCCTACCCATCAGTTTTCTATTTTTGGTTAAAGGGTGTTAATTAAGTCTAATGGGCTATTAAAATCTTGATCTTCAATCAATTGGCCATGGACTCTGCATCTTCTCTTCCAAAACAGACATATTCATCCCAAACACCGTGTCCTCCACAGGACTTTACCACAGTTTGGGACAGGGGACCAGAGGAAAATTTCTAGAGCAGTGGTTCTCAAATTGTAGCATAAATTGGAATTATTGGAAAGAATGGGTAAAACAGATTGCTGGTCCCTACCCCCCAGAATCTCAGATTCAATAGATCTGGGCCAGGCCTGAGAATATGCCTTTCTGATGTGTCCCCAGGTGATGCTGATGCTGTTGAAAAACCACTACCCTAAAGGAAATTATTCCTAAGGTGAGCAGGACAAGTAAGCATCTGATTTTTGGAGGGTGGTATGGGGCACAAAAGTGTGAGTTAAAAACATTAAATTATGCCCAGCCTGCGTGGCTCAGTGGTGGGCGTTGGCCTGTGAGCCAGGAGGTCAGGGCGCATGTCCGGGTTGCGGGCTTAACAGCCGATTGGTGGTTTTCTCTAATCATTGATGTTTCTCTCTCCTCTTCTCCCTTCCTCTCTTAAGTCAATAAAAATATATTTTTTAAATTAAATTATGATGGAATGTTTTCAATCAAGCTTCAGCCAGTGTATGAGAAATAATTCAGTATCATCATAATTTCCCAGCAATCCTCCCACAGTCACTTACGACTTTCAATGTAAGATCAGTTCATGTTTCCCAACTAGACTTTACTGTCCTCAGGAGCAAGACCCCATCTTCAACTTTTCTGGAAATCCTCATAGTTATTTGCACGATGATCAATATAAATTTGCTAATTGAACTGAATTCATAGACCACCAAACTCCGAGAAGAAAGAGCCTATGGAAAGTTCTGGGCCTATAACCACAGCTACAACTTTGGATTCATACTTTGCCCATTAAGGAATGTCACTAAACCCCTGTCTTTCCGTTATCCTACTTATAGCTGAGGATAAGCTGGATAAAGTTTGAGGTTGAAGATTTTAATGACGGTAAGCCTCCTCTAAAATTCTCTGGATGGGTTCTACTGGAGGATGCCAGTAATAATGGCAGATAATCATGGGACAAAGATGGTATTATTCAGTTCATCCAGATCCTTAATGAAGTTGTGGGGAAACTGGAGGGGGTGTGAGAGACGTAAATAAAGGAATTAGCTCTTCCTGGAAAACCATTTTTAAAAACCAACATTTCTCATGTATCTGCTCTAGAGGTTTCTTTCTTTTTTACTCTCTCCCTTTCTTTCGTCCTTTCTTTTTCTTTCTTTCTTTCTTTCTTTCTTTCTTTCTTTCTTTCTTTCTTTCTTTCTTTCTCTCTCTCTCTCTCTCTCTCTCTCTCTCTCTTTCTTTCTTTCTTTCTTTCTGGAGGGTGGTATGGGGCATAAAAGTGTGAGTTAAGAAAAATTAAATTATGCCCAGCCTGCGTGGCTCAGTGGTGGATTTCTTTCTTTCTTTGGAAGGATTTTGGAAGGAATGAGCTGTTGAGGTCTGGTATTGAATGTTCTTTGCCTTGTTCGTTTATTTGGTTATAGATG